ACATTTTGGCTGACCACTTGGGGAGGGTATTTGTATCAAAGTTATAGCGTAAGCAAAGTTAAATTTCAGGTTTGGTGTGTGCAATTTGATGGAATTCGGGTGGTGTCTGCTGCTGAGGATTGTACTGTAAAGGTTTGTACTACTTTTTTGTTCAATTTTATAATATTCTATAAGATTTGGAATGTGCAAACGGGGGAGAGTTTGCACACGCTGACGGGTCGCACAGACTGTCGTTCTGTCGACTCACTTTTGGTGGGTTGAAGTATCAATTTTTGGCTTTAATTTAATCTTTAATTCATAAAGGATTCTGTTTTAGTTTGAGCCCGAGCGCGATCTTGTCGTCGCGAAAAGTCTTGATAGAAAGATTCGCGTCTGGGATGTGCGAAGAGGAAGTGGGTTTTATTTGTTCGCTATTCGGTTCCAATATCATTTATATTTGTTTCTTTTAGCATGCATCGCAATTCCTATCAGTCAAGAATCAGACAATCCCTATGTGCAACTTCGCGGAAACAGTTTGGTCGCCTGCTATGCCGGCTTGGACGTTGGGGTACGTTTACTCAATCTTATGACAACTACTTCGTTTTCTTTAGGTTTGGGACATTCGTGACGGTGGTTCATGCATTCATCGCCTGCAAGGCGTAAATGGTCACACGTGGACCATCACTTCCTTCCAATTGCTCGACTCGAGACTCTTGGTGACAAGTTCTCACGATGGCTCGGTCAAGCTGTGGGATGTGGATAAAGGTATGTTATTCCAAATTACCTAGTAATGTAGGCTATAAGATAAGCAAATTTGTCCAGACTTCAAATTTTCTTCTAAAGTAGAATTTATTAACTACATATTTTGACTCGTTAATTAGTCAAGTTTAAATCGATGTTCGGGGTTAGTATACTGTGTTGAATTTTTTTATGAACTATACGAGAATTTTTGTGATTTTCAGGTATCTTTGTTCGTGACCTCGTTCGTCTTCAGGCTGGCAGTTGGGTTTGGCGTCTGTTTGCGACCGAAACATCTCTTTTATGTGAAATTGCATCGCGAAGCGGAACCGTGAACGCAAAGCTCATCCTGATCGATTTTGACGCATCGTATCCATAGTTATATTCGGATTGTCGCTCTTTTGCCTTATGGTGATTTTCTGAAGAATTTTTTTCGGTTTTCAATTCTTCTGGGTTTACATGGCTCTCTCCGTTAGCGTTTGTGATTCCCTTTAAAATGTTTCCCGCATTTTACACAATTTCTTGTATGCCAAAGTCTTCATATTGTTAACCTTTTTTTTCCTTTAACCTGCTTTTATTTGCTGACAATTATTCTCGTAACAAGGGTCATTTCCTTTTTTTGTCGAGAGTTTTCTTGTGTGATTGTTTCCAGAGGTGTTTGTGTTGCTTTAAATTGTGTCTTTTTTTCGGTAACTATATGGCAAGGTAAATGGCTTAAACTTGCTCACAAATAAAAGCAAACAGTCTAAACTTTTAAACTTTTGTTTATAAAGAGTGAAAAGGCGAATCGGTGACGCAAAAACGATTCTTTTGGGGTTTTGATAGGTAGCTAAATGTGTTTTCTGATTGAGAACAGTGAGAACTAAAATTGTGAGGTAGAAAACTGAAAAAAAGGTTGCTTAGAAGTTGGAAAAAAGTAATTTTTTACAGTGATTTTCAAAAAAACGCGCCGTATTCGTGTATTTAAAGAGGCTTTGCGATAAATTTCATTCTGGTCGATTCTTTTAGTAGGCTTATCTATAGTAAATACTCTAATAGTACCTGATCCCTACCCTACGGGTAGACTAGCTTATCGATTTTATCGATACAAACGACATGCTAATGTTTGAACGTTCAGATCTCTGTTTCTAGAACAGATCTCAATTTGAGAATTGTTTCATTTGGAAGCCAGGAATGTCAGCTTTTGATTGCTATTTTATACATGGCGACTTTTAATGAGTAGGCACGATATTTGTGTATTGATAAGTCTTTTAACGCACTCACTTATGAGGATTTTGCTCTGTGCGAGATAGCAATCAAAAGCTGACATTCTTGGCTTTCCAATCAATAAGTTTATAGTTGTACGAGAAACCGAGATCTGAAGGCTCAAACATGAACTGTATCGATAGTATCGTTATGCAAGTCTACCCACGGGACGGGTACTATTACAGTATTCATGGTAGCTAGTAGTAGTGTTAGGGTGAACCAAAAGTTTTCTATTTTTTTCTTTTTAAGTTTAAACAATTTTTTAAAGCTAATAAATTCGTTTTATATATACGTGCCATATTTATTTTGTAGCATTTGATCTGCTCTTTCATATTTTACTAAGTTATCGTGTGTTTTACGATTTGTTTTTAATTTTTTACTTTGGAGGATGGAAAAATTCGAAATTCGGGTACTTTTGCGCCATAATTGGAAACAAGGGTTCAATGCAACTGAAGCGGTCAAAAAATATGCCAAGTGGAAGGTGAAGGAATGATCTCCAACAATACTGCGCAATATTGGTATCGATTCTGGTACCTCGAGGTTGTACCAAATACATTCAAGCACCGGATATGGTTTAGAATGCTTCTTTTAAAACGAGGATTTGAGTTTGAGTCTAATATGAAGATTGGATGATGAATGGGCGAAGACGAAGACTCACAATGAAAATCCGGCTCCACCAATGGAAACCTATCTTGAATGGGTTTGGAATGCGTGAAAGAAACTCCTGAAGAACCTCATGATGCTCTCATTTAAGAATTGTGCCATTACTGATGGCACGGTGGCTACTGATGGCTCGGAAGATGGTCTCATTCACTTGCTTGTTTACCAATAGTTTAGTGATTGCAAAACTATCCTTTTCGAAAGATTTTTTCTTAAACACTTTTTTGAAAATCACGGCAAAATTTAATCGGCTTTTGTTTATTCTTTTGATAACAAAGCTCACACTTTCGCACTTATTGTAAACTGAACAAATAGATTGATTTCCTGTGCTTTCTTTCTTTCTCGTCTCCGGTCACTAAGCGGGCTAAATAAAAATTTCCGTTGATGTTTCGAAAGAAGCGCGGCGCAACCTAATAAAAAATTCGGTACAAAAGACGCTACAACGTTAGACACAAACAAGCACATATTTGGAAGAAAGTTGAAATTATTACAAAGCTCAAACAGCAAACATTTCTTTAGAGCTCTTACAAGTATTAGGTTGAGGAAGAAGTAATGTAGGTTTTTGTCACAAAAATGTTTATTGCTAAAAACATAAACAAACGCACATCAATCAATGAGATATTCTCCATTATTATTGATGACTTGTTCCCATCTTCGTCGCAAGTCCCTGATCCCATCCTCAAAAAAATGACAAACGCAAAAGTACCCGAATCTCGAACTTTTCTCCCATAAGAAAACTCTTCAACGAGCGAATCGCAAATCTCTTTAGATACACGAATACGGTGCGTTTATTGAAAATCACTGTAAAAAAAATCACTTTTTTCCAACTTCCAAGCAACCTTTTTTTCAGTTTTCTACTTCACAATTTTATTTCTCACCGTTTTCAATCAGAAAACACATTTAGCTACCTATCAAAACCCCAAAAAGAATCATTTTTGCGTCACCGATACGCCTTTTTACTCTTTATAAAAAAAAGTTTAAAAGTTTAGACTGTTTGCTTTTATTTGTGAGCAAGTTTAAGCCATTTACCTTGCCATATAGTTACCGAAAAATAGACACAATTTAAAGCAACACAAACAGCTCTGGAAATAATCACACAAGAAAACTCTCGACAAAAAAAAAATGACCCTTGTTACGAGAATAGAAAGCAAATAAGAATAATCAGCAAATAAAAGCAGGTTAACAATATGAAGACTTTGGCATACAAGAAAGTGTGTAAAATGTCGGAAGCATTTGAAACGAAATCACAAGAGCTAACCGAGAGGGCAATGAAATCTCAGCAGAATTGAAAAATCGAAAGAAATCTTCAGAAAATCACAATAAGGGCTAAGACTAAGCGGAAAGAGCAAAAATACGAATATACCTACGGATACGATGCATCAAAATCGATCAAGATGAGCTTTGAATCCCTGGGATCGTTTCGCGATCTAACTGCACAGATGAGCAATGTTTCGGCGGCCCTGAGACGCCAAATGCCACCGCCATATCCAAGACGAACGAGGTCACGGACGAAAATACCTGAAATTGGAAAAAAATTAACAACAGAATAGTTTAGTATCCAACATGAATTAAAGCTTGAATAGTTAACGAGCCAAGCTATGTAGTTAATAAATTTTACTTCAAAGAAAACTTGAAGTCTGGATAAATTTGCTTCTCTTATAGCCTACTTTACTAGGTAATTTAGAACAACATACCTTTATCCACATCCCACAGCTTGACCGAGCCATCGAAAGAACCTGTTACCAAAAGTCCCGAGTCGAGCAATTGCAATAAAGTGATAGCCGACGTGTGACCATTTACGCCTTGTAAGCGATGATGTTGATGTTGATGTTGATGTTGATGATTGTTGATGATGCTCAAGTTTGTTGCTTCAATGTTGATGATGCTCAAGTTTGTTTCGTTTTACCATTATTGTACGTCCTGTTTCAGCTGGCTTTCACTCTAACTGGCCATATGGGTCGCATTCGGACTACTCTAGTGAGCGATGATGGTAAATATATTGTCAGGTTAGTTAATAGACTTTAGCTAGTGCAATTGATACAGGTTGTCAATGAATGCTAACAATGCCAATGCTAACAAAATTCTAGACAAAAATACTTGTGAGAACAAAGTCTATTGCATTATTTAAGTGGCGCGTATGATCGAACGGTGCGCGTTTGGTGTGGTCAAACCGGTGCACAGCGTCATGTTCTGCAGGGGCATACGAGTGAAGTGTGGTGCATGGGTCTACATGGTACAACGTGAGTAATCTAAATTTTGTACTTTAGCTAAAAGCATAATGTTTTAGTCTTGTTTCTGGATCGTTTTTGGATCAAACACTCCGAGTCTGGGACATTATCGACGGGAAATGCCTTCAGATTTTGACTGGCGACTTGGGGATGGTATTTGTATCAAAGTTATAGCGTAAGCAAAGTTAAATTTCAGGTTCGCTGTGTGCAATTTGATGGAATTCGGGTGGTGTCTGGTGCCTTGGATGGTACTGTCAAGGTTTGTAATGCCTTGTTTAATTTTATATATTCTCTAAGGTTTGGAATGTGCAGACAGGGGAGTGTTTGCAGACGCTGACGGGTCACACGAGGCAAGTCGATTCACTTTTGGTGGGTTGAATTGTCAATTTTTGGCTTTAATCAGGATTCTATTTTAGTTTGAGCCAGAGCGCGATCTTGTCGTCTCGAGAAGTCATGATGCAACGATTCGCGTCTGGGATATACGAGGAGGAAGTGGGTTTTATTTGTTCGCTATTCTGTTGCAATATCATTTATATTTGTTTCTTTTAGCATGCATCGCAATTCCTATCAGTGGAGAATCAGTCTATCGCTATCGCCACTATGGCATGCAACTTCGCGGAAACAGTTTGGTGGCCTGCTATACCGGCTCGGACGTTGGGGTACGTTTAATCAAGCCTATGTCAACTACTTCCTTTTCTTTAGATTTGGGACATTCGTGACGGTGGTTCGTGCATTCATCGCTTGCAAGGAGGAAGTGGTCACACGTCGTACATCACTTCATCTCAATTGCTCGACTCGGGGCTTTTGATAACAAGTTCTGAGGATGGCTCGGTCAAGCTGTGGGATGTGGATAAAGGTATGTTATTCCAAATTACCTAGTAATGTAGGCTATAAGATAAGCAAATTTGTCCAGACTTGAAATTTTCTTCTAAAGTAGAATTTATTAACTACATAATTTGACTCGTTGATTAGTCAAGTTTAAATCGATGTTCAGGGTTAGTATACTGTTGTTAATTTTTTTATCAACTATACGAGAATTTTTGTGATTTTCAGGTGTCTTTGTTCGTGACCTCGTTCGTCTTCAGGCTGGCAGTTGGATTTCGCATCTCGAAGCGACCGAAACATTTCTTTTATGTGAAATTGAATCGGAACCGGGAAACAGAACCGAGAACACAGAGCTCATCTTGATCGATTTTGACGCATCGTATCCATAGTTATATTCGGATTGTGGCTCTTTTGCCTTAGCCTTAGCCCTTATTGTGATTTTCCGAAGATTTCTTTCGATTTTTCAATTCTGCTGAAATTTCATTGCCCTCTCGGTTAGCGTTTGTGATTTCCTTTCAAATGTTTCCAACATTTTACACAGTTTCTTGTATGCCAAAGTCTTCATATTGTTAACCTGCTTTTATTTGCTTTTATTTTATTCTCGTAACAAGGGTCATTTCCTTTCTTGCCGAGAGTTTTTTTTGTGTGATTCTTTCCAGTGGTGTTTGTGTTGCGATAAATTGTGTCTTTTTTCGTTAACTATATGGCAAGGTAAATGGCTTAAACTTGCTCACAAATAAAAGGGAACAGGCTAGACTTTTAAACTTTTTTTACAAAGAGTGAAAAGGCGAGTCGGTGACATAAAAATGATTATTTTTGGGGGTTTTGATAGGTAACCAAATGTGTTTTCTCATTGAAAACAGTGAGAACTAAAATTGTGAAGTAGAAAACTGAAAAAAAGGTTGCCAAGAAGTTGGAAAAAATTGATTTTCAAAAAAACGCGCTGTATTCGTGTATTTAAAGAGACTTTGCGATAAATTTCATTCTGGTCAATTCTTTTAGTAGGTTTATATACCGTAAATACCCTAATAGTACCCCATCCCTCTAGTGCCCTAAGGGTAGACTTGCTTATCGATTTTATGGATACAAACGGCATGCTAATGTTTGAACGTTCAGATCCCTGTTTCTAGAACAGCTCTCAATTTGAGAATTGTTTCATTTGGAAGCCAGGAATGTCAGCTTTTGATTGCTATTTTCTACATGGGGACTTTTAATGACTATGCACCTCATAAACCTTATCGATACTTCTCGATATTTGTGTATTGATAAGCCTTTTAAGGCACTGACATGAGAATTTTCTATGTGCGAGATAGCAATCAAAAGCTGACATTCTTAGTTTTCCAATGAAATAAATATATAGTTGTACAAGAAACCGAGATCTGAAGGCTCAAACATGAACTGTATCGATAGTATCGTTATGCCAGTCTACCTACGGGACGGGTACTATTACAGTATTAACGGTAGCTAGTAGTAGTATTAGGGTGAACCAAAGGTTTTCTATTTTTTTTCTCTTTAAGTTTGAACTATTTTTTGAAGCTAATAAATTCGTTTTCTCTATACGTGCCATATTTATTTTGTAGGATTTGATCTGCTCTTTCATATTTTACTATGTTATCCTGTGTTTAACGATTTATTTTTAATTTTTTACTTTGGAGGAAAGAGATGGAAAAATTCGAAACTCGGGTACTTTTGCGCCATAATTGGAAACAAGGGTTCAATGCAATTGAAGCGGTCAAAAAATATGCCAAGTGAAAGGTGAAGGAATGATCTCCAACAATACTGCGCAATATTGGTATCGATTCTGGTACTTCGAGGTTGTACCAAATACATTCAAGCATGTGATTTAGAATGCTTCTTTTAAAACGAGGATTTGAGTCTAATATGAAGATTGGACGGTTAGACTAAAGCTTTTACAAGTATTAGGTTGAGGAAAAAGTAATGTCGGTTTTTGTCACAAAAATGTTTATTGCTAAAAACATAAACAAACGCACATCAATCAATGAGATATTCTCCATTATTATTGATGACTGGGTCCCATCTTCGTCGCAAGTCCCTGATCCCATCCTCAAAAAAATGGCGAGTTTTCGACACTTATATGTCGACTGCTTTTTTGATCTGTGCATGATTCTCGAACTTTTCTCCCATAAGAAAATTCCTCAACGACCGTAACAAAAAATAATCTGATAGGCCCAGGTCCGAAATATAAGGTGCGTGGGGCGGAGGTTTCCAACTTAGCTCGTCGATTTTTTGGTGAGTGATTTTACAGTGTGAGGTTTTTCAGCATTTCAGATTTTTTGACAGCATTATCATGCAAAAATGGCACTTTTGTTGTTTCAACGCCCAGTTTCTTGAAAGCCTCGTTAACTCTCATCAACTGTTTTGAATAAAACTCAACGGTGACAGTTTCTCCCAGCTTCAACAACTCATACACCAAACCTTTTGTATTCCACCAACAACAAAGCATAAGCTTCTTTCCATGAATATCGGGTTTTCAAGTTGGTTGTGGGGGTTCACCTAGAGAAAGCCACTGATTTTTGCGCTTCACATTCTCATATGAATTCATGTCAGGACTCAAACTCGGAGACAGCGGCACTACCACCACACCACTGAGTCACTTTTTTCTGGTGAGGCCTTACAAACTCAGAAGTAGCTCAGTGCACTAGGGGGTCAAATTTCGTTTTTACAGAAATCTAGCGCGCTTGGGTAGAAACTAAAAACACCATCGTGTTGCCCGTTTCCGACTTGCGTAAGTCATCTAGCTTTGCTTCGGATTCGTACTTCCCAAGTTAGCCTAAACTTAGAGAATCAAATCTTAAAGCCAACTTTTTAGGCCGGAATCCGTCGAACCCTGGCAATCATCTTGTTAACATATTTGATGTCGAATTTTCTCTCGGTTTTAATCACTGTTTGGGAGATGTTCGATCCAGCATCACTTTGGAAACCTGGGTGAGTTCTGGATAAAAAAAAAGGCATCAAATAGTCATCAAATAGTCATCAAACTTATGATAAGAAGAAGTTTTTCGTATAGATTTTTTTGGTAGATTTTGCTTCAAGTACTTTAAGTCTTAAAATACATACTATATATTATTTAATATTATTCCAATCTTATGGATAAGTTATTTTAAAGTTTCAATTACAGATGGGTTTGCACAAAGAAGATTTTCCTGAAAGCGACGATGAAATGAAAGGACAAATTAAATCATTCTTTGATCAAATTGAGGAAAATGTTCAGAATTTTTCGCATACAATTTACATTGGTTTGGTTGAGAGGTAAATTACACTTACCTACCTAATGATCGAGATCAAAAATTTGAAGATTGAATTGGAGAAAGTGTTTTTTTTCTATTATCTAATATGCATTTAGGATACGCAAATCAGTGATAAATTCACTCGAACTAACAGAACTAATCAGTGATACCGAAGAAGAGTCAGTACCGAAGAAGGAATTGTCGGATCAAGAAGCCTTTGAATATTTTTCGAAATTTGAAAATTCTTCGGAAATAGTTATTTATTCATGTGTAATGTTAAACTACCTAATTTAGAATTTCTTCGGTTACCAAAAAGATCTTTCCAAAAAGTTAGAAGCGAAATTGAACAATCACCTTGATTTGGTAAGTTTAAACAAACACTACAATTGTGCTATTTGCGATTGCAATGTTTTTACATTGTTAAGAGTTTTTTTTTAAAGAAAACGTTGAGATAAAACAGAGACTTCTAAAGAATAGCGAACAAATTGTTTTTCATAAATATGTGCTAATACTTTTGCCTTCCAGGATCTCGAGAAAGTTGCATCTTCTTTCTCAAGTTGAATTCATTCATCTTTTTCTATCGAAGCTATGAAGATCAGCTTTTGAAAATCAGGTCTAAACAATTTAAACAAACACGAAAACTATCGTCTCGGTGTTTGAATACCTTGTATCCCAATATAAAGGCTGGCTAATAAGTATTGTCACGTGCTTGAACGTGTGTTACTCCTCAAGGTTAGTTCCAAATCTCATAACTCCAATTCTTATTTTATTCCTCACCTCATAATCTGCACACATGCCAAAATTTGGCTAAGAGTCTAGGGAATCTAAATACCGTAAAAACTCTAATAGAACGGCCCCTCTATAGGAGCGTCGCGTAGTCTAAGTTTACTCTCAAACAAACGCTCACATCCGGACGCCAGTACGTTTGTTTCTGCTCGTTCAGGTATCGAATTAATGTAGAGAGAATGGGAAATTTTTTGAGATAAACATTATCTTTTTTAACATTAACCAGCGTTTAAAAAAAATGATTGAAAAGTGGCAAAAAAAGAGCTGATCTTTTTGAAATTGAAGCTTTTCAAAGAGCTTTACAAGTTCTCAAGTTCTCAGCTTTTCAAATAAATTGAAGCTTTTCAAAGAGATCGCCGATCAAGTTCTTGATGCCGGATCCGAGCTTTACAAGTTCTCAGTCTGCCTAAAAACAGACACACAGTTAATTTAGGAAAAAAGTTAACGAGAAACTTGTTTAAGTTCTTTGCTGTGAATTCTTCCGTATTATTCAGTGCGTAAGTTTTTTGCTTGAGTAACTTGAGTTTCATTGTTTTGTTATCATTATAGGATAAATTGGACGAGCGCTCTGATCTTTTCACTGCAATCGATATTCTTAAGCGTCTAAATCTTTATGAATCCAAATTAAAGCCGTGGCTATTCAAAGAAACTGTTGAATATTCAAACAAAATGTTTCCGAAATGTGGAATTGATTCGACTAAAGATAAAAATAGGACTTTTTATTGGTAAAAGCTGTAGATTGATTGGTGCATTAGTTATTTCTAAAAAGTCCAATGAATAAGTGTACCAAATTTCAAGTTGCCAATCTAATACAATATTAGAGACTTTTCAAAAGAGAAGTCTAGGAGTTTCACAGTTTTTTTAGGCGCTTCACCGAGATATTAAATTACTCACCGAGGCATTGGATGATATATTTGAAGATAATAATCAAATATCCACAGTTTTTCATGATTGGTACAAAGATTTGTGGAACCGCATACCCGGTCTTATGGATGTTTTAATGGATTCGACGGTTTTAACGGATTCGATGGTTTTCCTTTAATCTTTTCTAAACTTGCACAAACTTTTAGGAAATGCTTAAACAAAATTGCGATATGGAAACCATTTCTTTGTGGGTGCAGAAGAATGGACGAGCTCATCTACAAAAGTATTTACCAGAAACAGAAGAAGAACAAAGAAAAGAAAAGAGAAACAAAAGTCGATTTATTCAGGTTGAAAAAATAGTTTAGTTTGAAGAGGGATAAAATCTAGAAATTTCTAAACTACATGGAATCTACTTGCAAACGCTTGTGTGCTGTTCAAATCAAAGATGCTTGGAGATCGAAGATGGTAACTATACAGGTAAAAAAGTAACATTTTAAAGCAGCGAGATGATCAATGACTGGCCATGGATGGCACCATTTAAGATTTTATTCAATTTGCACCCGGATATCGCTGAATTATTGGTTAATTATCTTGATACCCAGTACGAAGCTCTTAAGGAAGAGGTTAGTCTATTGCTGAAACTGCATTAAGAAAAGCATTCTTTTGTTTAGATTAAACAAGGGGAAAACGAAACAAAAAACCTGAATGAATGGGAACCTGGAAAAATTGTGGAAAATGTCGCTGTATCAAGCAAGATCTTAACTTTGCTCTGCTACTGTAGTGACAGAGTTTCCTTTGAACTGTGGGCGATAACATAAGTAACGAGCTATATAACCTTCCAATCTTAGTTTTTATCGAGAATTTGCAAGAAACCTTCTCAATAATGAGCCTCAATTTTGCGAAGTTGACCAACAACTGGTAAATGAAATGTTTCAAACAACAAAAGCATTCCTTTTCCAGCAAATCGCGTTGACACTTTGCTTTGGTTCTTTGTTTATTCAAAAGCTTCGTCAAATGCAAGCCGACCAAGAACAATTTGCTGTTCATGAAAAAGAATTTCAAACTTATTTAAACAAGGAAAATCACGTGAGGCATTTTCATTTTCATTTTCAAAAAACATTTTAGCGTTTATCAATCGAATTTCAAGTAATAGTTGTTACCTCCCACATTTGGCGTATTCAATCCGAAACATTTACTCGAGCCCTTCCGTCTGCTGCAATAACGGCGCTAGATTTTTTTACGCGCTATTATAAAAGGTATTATACATAGTTAGTATTTTTCTTTAAATTACAAATTGATCAGAAAGTACAACAATAAGTACGACAATAAGCAGAACAATCGAAACTTGCGGTTAAACACATTGCATGGAAAAGCAGAAATTATCGCAAATTTTAATTGCGATTCGACAGTTTGCTTATGCGTAAACACTCATCAAATGATTGTTTTGATGTTTTTCAACAGAAAAGTTTGTTCGAAAGTTATGAAACAAACGGTTTTTTTAAGGAAACCTGGACATTTCGTGAACTCGTAAAACGGACAGATTTTTCGCTTCCTGAATTGGAGAGAACAGTCAGCCTAATGCTTTCTGGAGATGAATGCCACAGAGTTTTGCGAAGCTCGGGAACCGCTGGAAAGAATGGTGGGAAGTGAAAATGAAAAAAAAAGAAGTGTTTTATAAAAATTTCTCACAAAAACTTTAGAACTCGATGAAAACTCATTGTGAACGATGAATTTACTTTTACGAAAGATAAAATTAAAATACCAACAGCGAAGCTTACGGTATGGCAGTTAATCCTTACAATAAAGATACATATTTACGAGCTATACAATATTTTAGAACAACCCTGAAGATCCGAGGATTTCCCAAGTGAAAAACGATAAAGAAACTGAAATTAGATGTGCAATTGTGAGGGTGATGAAGAAAGAGAAGGAGCTGGCTTACTCAGATCTTCTCAACAAGGTTGGATTTTTGATAGTGAGTCCAGCAGGTATATTTCCTTGCCTATAGGTAACCGAGGAACTTTCCAACCGTTTTACATTCGATCGCAAGTCATTCAAACAACAAATTGAGCATCTCATGGAAAAAAAATACATTGAGAGAGAACACATTGAGAGTCATGGCAAAGATGTCATTAAATACCTGGAATGAACAGTTTGAGCTTTGAAATAATTTGAACTTTCTTCCAAATATGTGCTTGTTTGTGTCTAACATTGTAGCGTCTTTTGTACCGAATGTTTTATTAGATTGTCATTTATGAAATGTCCGACGCTTTGTCATGCCCGTAAATTTTCATTTCACCATACATTTCTTTTATTTCTTTTTTGATATTATATCGTAGGAAAAATAAAATCATTTTAAAATTCGAGCCACATCTGTTGTGGATCGGCTGAGAAATGTCAGCTCAAAAAACCACAAACTTTTATGACCGTAAAATTTGTGACCTGCAACAATCAGTCCGGCTCATATCACGCCAAATCGGGGTTTCTGTGTCTAGAAGCTAAAGCGAAGTGCGAAACCACATCGAACAGTTGATTTTTTGAAATTTTTCTCAGTTGGATATCACGTAACATTTCTGCGCCAACAGAATTTCGATTTGAAGAAAAACGTGATTTTACCTTATAGCGGACTGTGTGTGTCACTAGAACAAAAATATTAGGTTGTCCAATAAGTAATGCGTGTTACTTATTTCGAAACTATTGCGAAATCGCTTCGAGCAAATATATGCTCTTTTTAATCATCAGCATCTTGTGTTTATTTTTATATATTATTTTATTCATTTGCCTTTGTTTTATAATAGATATGTTGTTTTGCAGATGAAAGACAAAAAGTTTGTTGTCCGCGCATCAATGCTGTATGATTTCAAACGAGGTAAAACTGCAGCGGATTGCCATCGAACTATCTGTGCCGCATTTGGAGAGGATTCAATTTCAATCAGCCAGTGCCAGCGCTGGTTTAAACGATTTGCGGACGGAAACGAGTCGTTAGAGGACGAGGAACGCGCTGGAAGGCTCAAAAATGGCTCGACGATTTCTTCTCATCGAAACCAGCTTCATTCTATTATGACGGACTTCACTCTTTGCTCGGACGATGGAGAAATGTTGTTGATTGTTGTGGAGAATATATCGATTAATAAAGTTCTCTTTTGTTAATTTTGTGATATTTTGAAAATCGTGTCAAAACACTCATTACTTATTGGACAACCTAATAGAAGTCAACCAAGTCATTAATGCAATTTTGAATAAGCAAAATACTAAAGACTACGATTTTTTGGTATTAAGTATTT